TGTAATTAGGTTATGGGTAACAGGTTACCTTCACGTCGAAAAATAACAGAACAATAACATCATCCACTCATGAAAGCAAATCCTCTTAACGCAAATTCCTGGTATCCAAAATATGAAGTAGCTTCATAGGAACATCCATCCAAAACAATCTACAATATCACAGCAAAAACCGGAAAAATGTTGTCTGGGATGTGCTGCTTAATGTTAAGCAGCACATCCTATTGTAATCCTATCCTAATGTTATACACCTTTAACAGATTCTGTGGTTTGATTCTGTGGTTTGTGAGTTCAGGCAAAAAGAAGTTTGTTTGTTTCTTGTAAATGTCCCATCCTAATGCGATTAAAAATCCTTGTGTAGTCTTGCTCTTAATCAGCTCTCCTGCCGTTCTGATGGAAATCTTTTCCAAAATGAAAGTTTTTGTTACTTTCATTCACCAATTTTTGTGTCCATTTATTGGAATGACTATAGCAGATGTTGTATTTTTAGTCATTGTATCAATATTTCTGCAGTTTTCTTGCTGTAAGTTTTCCAAACATACCCAAAATCCATTGTAAATTGTCCTTTAAAGAAACATTGTCATTACGTGTGGAAGCTCCTTCTACGTCACCGTTGGGGTCTCCATATCTGACCTTAACTGAGAGACACTGCACTGTACGGTATGTTATATAATAAACTCTCTCTTACCATGTAAGTGCTGCATTTTGTCCGTTCACGCGAAGTTACCCGCCAGGGCAATTCTGTTAGAGGCCGAGCTTCATATGGTACATAATCCAAATGCCCTTCCTGTATAAACACAATGAAATCTCTGATGGGGTCGTCCTCTTTTGACTCGACCCAGAACATTGACAAACAAAGCCTCACGTGGAAAAAAAACCCTGACAGTGTGAACCAGACAGATGCAGCAGTGGCCACTCTTAAACAAATCAATTACATCACAATAAATGCGTTCATGAAGGCACAATTATTTCGTATTGACATTTTCAGACCGTTGAACATACAGAGTGTTTTTGTCCTTAGGACCATCCTCTTTTCAGAAAAAAAATATGAATATGCCAATGGGAAAGAGTCAGAGGTGGATCCATTATCACACCACGTGCCGACTGCACTCAAGGCCTGTATAGCGAATTATGATGAATTATCCATAGGTCAATGACTAAAGACAGGAAGTGGGCTTGATCTATAAAACAGGCTTTTATGAGAACTGACTGACCTAAAGCCATGACATTGGCTATGTACAGGACTCTAAGACTGCATTATTATACACACATGTATTACTTTATGCATGGTTATGTCTGATAATGAGGTCTGTCAAATAAGCAGCCCTAACTAAGGCATTAACGTTGACACAAAGTCTGATAACTAAATAGATGGAGGTATTTAAGTTGCATTTAAATCCTGCTGGGAAGTTCGTATTTATGAGTTGGTAAGTCAATGTCAGGTGCGTTCAAGTCCCTTTGGTCGGAGGCAAGATGGTGATGTACCTTTTCCATAAAAAAAATCAGCATTTTTTTTTAAAACTCTACTTCTACAAAATGATGAATAAAAAATAGCTTTGTGTGTGTGTGTGTTTTATTCAATTCATGAAGGTGCTTTATACTGAATCAATGGTAACACTTTATTTAAGGGACCAATTCTCATTATTAACCAGTTGCTTATGCATATTACTAGCATATGTTTTATATATTTTTAGATAGGGAGCAATATTCGACCTGATTTGATTTTTTCTAACCTCATCAAATACACAAAACTTTAATATGTCAGTTACTTGAGTTGAATTATTAGAAATAATTTCTACTGAACATTTTGCCCCCACATTTAAAATATCTGAGGCAGTTTTTTTCCAATGTCATGTTTGCCCTGAGCCACAATTAATCCTGACCCTGCTTCTCACTGATTTTTTCTAACCTCATCAAATACACAAAACTTTAATATGTCAGTTACTTGAGTTGAATTATTAGAAATAATTTCTACTGAACATTTTGCCCCCACATTTAAAATATCTGAGGCAGTTTTTTTCCATGTCATGTTTGCCCTGAGCCACAATTAATTCCTGACCCTGCTTCTCACTGTTCAATAACAATTTGCATAGAGCAAATATGATTTACTTTCTTTTTTTTCAGGTTGTGGGAAAATTGCCTTTCTATCTCTTTATATTCAGAACCGATTTTCAAAAATATAGTAAATTATTTCTTAAAATTAATTTGTGATCTAATGAATATCCACCATTCATTTGTGATTTGTGATCTTATTACAAAGATGTTTATGATCACAACATTCAGTATATAACGCTATTCAAAAATATACACATCTGACTAACATATCTTCTTTATTGCCATGATGAAGATATATCAACAAGGTCAATCAAGCATTTACCATCACACAAAAAATCCAAGTAAAGTCCAATACAATTTGGCCAAGCAGGTCCATTTTTTTCAGTTAAGGCATGTAGATCATTGATTAGTTCATCTATCTGTGAGTTGTTCCATTTGTCAATTGACTTATTGTGAACTCTAGGTCTGTGCATGGATGTTATCCCATACCCGGACCACATCAGGGCAGTCATTGAGAGCATCCAGCAGGGTGGATGCGGTCTCTAGCTGAGTCTGAGTCAGGAGAGACGGGGTATGAGAAACAAACTCCAGACCGGCTGAAAGTGTGTGTACCCCCAGACCTTCTAGAGCACTCCGCACAGCCTTCATGGACGCAATGTCACAGATAAACTGAAAGGGAGAGAAGGGTTAACAATTGAGAGAATTTCTTAAAACTAATTTTACACAAAGAGGTTCTACAAGTAAAATTCAAAAACTTTCGAAAGGGGCAGGGCCACTTTTATTAAAATGGCGGAGCAGAACGGAATGAGATATCTTTGCCAAACTCAGAACACTTATGTTAGAAAAAAATGCTGAGCTTGGCCACTTGGTGGCACTATAAGAGGGGAAAAAAACATAAAAACTATATCTATAACTATGCAACCATTTGTCCAATCAACATGAAAATTGGTATGCCGTGTCTTTGTCTACAAGTGCTACAAGTGTCTGTAAGGACATTTGCATACCTCAAAAAACATGGCCGCCATTGGTCAATGAAGTTTGAGCACCTATTAGACAAGGTTAACAGAGGTCACTCGGAATGAAACTCAGTGGGCCTGTTTGACTCATGGCCCTAAAGGTCTGAGAGAAATTTTAAAGAATTCGGTCACTGAGGGGCGATATCGCATTTTTAAATCATTGAATTAGCTGGTTACAGACTTGTTAAATAATACACAATGGGCCTCATTCATGAAACACGAGCAGAACAAATTTTTGTGTAAATCGTTCGTAAAGCTTTGGCAAACTGATGACACTGAATTTTGATGCACTGCCATCATAATATTTTACAAGGTCGTTTGCGCTTTTTTTTTTGTAGCTGGGAGTTTAGCTTTGGGTAAAACGCAGCGCTTGTCACTATCACTTTTTACCCAGCCGTCCAATCAATGGAGGAAGGGCGGGACAAATACTACACCGACCAATCGTCCTACTTGTACAACAACTGAACAACAATAGAGAAGTTAACAATGCTGGTTACTGCATTTTTATATTCAGTAATATTCTTCAAAATGAGATACTAGTAATGCATTACTGCCGTGGATATTCCAAATTATAGCAACCAAAGCGTCCTCCAGCACCACCAGCTGG